AATCAAAATATGGTGTCACTTTATTGACTTTATCTTACACACTTACAATTGGTTTGCTATTGAGAGGCGTGATCCGCATGAAGCTGTTTCATTGTTAATGGCGGCTAAACGAAATAAGTATTGTCATCTGTATTCAGAGCATAGCAAGGATGCAAGAGATACTGGAATACCGATTTTAAATTATATGGCCAAGTGCTTCGACACAGGGCAAGAATTTAACATTGCTTCAGGTTGTGCATCTCTTCCTCGTATTCCTTTAACGAATGAAATTTTCGCCCCTGCTTTATCCACTCTACCTCCTTGCCAGGTACATAAATGGTTCTAAAGAACAGTTGCCACATGGTTGGTGCTCTACTGTACATGTCGTAGTAGTCAACTGTTTTAGGATCTTTCCCGAATTCTAGCAAATGATAGGCCCTTCGAATGGCCTCACTCTTCTTTCGGACTATGCAGACATGGTTGTCATGTTCCAGACGTATTGCATAAAACTCCCGAATAACCATTAAGTTGGCCTCATCAGGTTCTTCAAAGAATATCCCCAGTCGCGCATGACCAATTCATGATACACATTGGGACAGTCATTCTAGAGGGATCCAATATCAATTCCCCTCTCTGGTATGGGCTTCTTGCTTGCCTTGTTTTGGAATCGTTCCTAGGCTTCCCCGAAGATGAACTTGTTATGATCATACGAGCGAGTAGAAGCAGACGCTCGTGATCAGGACGATCCCGCGTGACCACTTGAGGAGGCACCTGTGGTTTTTCGTTTCTTGGATGGCGCAATAATACCTATAACAAATACCAAATATTAGCTAATGAAGAAATTGGTGAACCAAGAGAGGCTACTCAGACTTCACCCTCACACTTGGTCACAAAATTACACCCTCAATATCTCATTGTGGTATTTATACAAATACTTAATATGCAAAGCTCGTCCTAACTCCCCCCCCCCCCCCCCACCACACAAAAAACAATTTTAGCCCTAATTAGACTAAGGATACACCAATGTCACACCTAGCCCATCCATGGTGAAATTCAACTTCCACCCCACAAGAAAAAGAGTATAAAAAGGAAAGAAAACAAAAATAAAAATCTACTACAACATAAGCAAAATAAAATAAAATAAAATAAGAAGAGAGAGAGAGAGAGAGAAAGAGAGAGAGAGAGAGAGAGAGAGAGAGAGAGAGAGAAAGCATCTCACTTACCTGAGGAGACTAGGGAGAGAAAACTCGTAAGGATGTGGTGAAGGGAGAAGAGGAATAGAGATGGTGTGGTGTGTTGGGTGTTGTTTTGTTCTTAAAGAGAGGAGATGAGAGAAGGGAAGAGTTAGGGTTGTTTAGAGAAGGGGGAAAGAAAGGGGGAATTTTAGAATTGGGGGTGTTGAAAGAGGGGGTCCGAAATAAAAAGGGAAAAAGAAAACGTACCTGATGTGCAGCCGGTTCGCCTCGTGCTCGGCCGCGCAAGTGAGGCAGAACATGTGTGAAAGTGCGCGACCAGTGCGCGGCCACACACGCTCCACCTCAGCTGACATTGTCGTTTGCGCGACCAAATACGCGAGGTACCCCCAGGTGCATGGTCACGCATATATACATTTAAAAGAGCTCTTTTAGACACCTCACTTCCTACCTTCCACAACCTGTACCTTTCTGCACCTACCACATCATTCTATACACTAATTTCTATCTATTCTACGCTATAAGCAAAAGTGAAAAATCTAACTAGTAGAAGAGTTAGAGGTAGTTCTGAGTTATAGTTGTTAGCTTGACTCTACCGGGCATCCTCAACTAATTTTGATGCTCGAGGATTGCTGCGCAAACCCTCCAGCAAGATACGATTTTAGTCTGTGCCCATTCACTTTGAAACTTTCTGTTTCGTCCTGGTTCTGGATCTTAATTGCCCCATATGGTGATACATGTTTCACAACATATGGTCCCGTCCATCTATACTTGAATTTTTCGGGAAATAATCTGAGTATACTGTTATACAGTAAGACTCTGTCCCTTCAGGAAACTCCTTTGGCTTAATTAGACAATAATGCCACATTTTAGTCTTTTCCTTGAAAATCCATGCATTTTCATACGCGTCCAGTCTAAACTCCTCCAATGCATTCATCTGTGCCAACCTGTGTTCACCTGCAAGACTAAGATCAAGATTGAGCAACTTAATTTCCCAATAAGCTTTATGTTCTATTTCAACAGGTAGGTGACACGATTTTTCATACACTAGTTTGAACGGTGAAGTCTTTGTGGTTGTTTTGAACGCAGTTCTGTACGCCCATAGAGCTTCTTCCAACTTTACCGACCAGTCCTTACGAGAAACACTAACTGTCTTTTCAAAAATTCGTTTATGTTGGTTAGCCACTTCGACTTGCCCACTAGTATGGGCATGATACGGGGTTCCTGTTTTGTATGTGATCCCATACTTGGACTGTAGTGCAGCAAACTGCTTGTTCACAAAGTGTGACCCATTGTCACTGATGATCACTCTAGGTGTCCCAAAACGGGTAAAGATGTTTTTCCTTAAGAATTCACACAACACGCGAGCATCATTGGTCCTAGTAGGGATTACTTCGACCTACTTAGAGACGTAGTCAACGACTACTAGGACATACTCATAAGAATGTGACAATGGTAACGGACCCATGAAGTCAATGCCCCAAAAGTCAAAAACTTCACATACCAGAATGGAGTTGAGAGGCATTTCGTCCCTCTTGCTAATATTACCTGCCCTTTGACAATTGTCATATGCAGCTACATACGCTGGTGCATCTTTATACAACTTAGGCCAAAAGAAACTGGCTTCCATGACCTTTGTCGTAGTGTAATTTCCATCATAGTGTCCTCTAGTTGCTCCATCATGGCAGTGAGACAGAATGCTTGCCATCTCTCCTTCAAGCATACATCTTCGAATCACACCATCTGCACACAATTTAAACAAGAAAGGGTCATTCCAAAAATAAAATTCTACCTCACTCTGCAGCCTCTTTTTCTGATCAGAGGTCAAGTCGTGTGGCATCCACCCACTAGCCAAGATGTTGGCTATGTCGGCGAACCATGGTGGTCTATCAAAAACTGCTGCAATGGAAAAAATCTGCTCATCTAGGAACTCTTCCCGAAAGTCCACTTCTTCAACAGGTGGTTTCTCGAATTGCGACAGGTGATCAGCCACTTAAGTTTCTGTGCCCTTCCTGTCCTTGATTTCTAGATCAAATTCTTGTAGCAACAATACCCACCGCATCAGACGCGATTTGGACTCTTTCTTACTTAGCAAATATTTCAATGTCGAGTGATCAGTATGCACTATTAGCTTGCTTCCCACCAAACAGGATCTAAACTTATCAAAAGCAAAGACTACTGTAAAGAACTCCTTCTCCGTGGTAGCATAGTTCACCTGAGAATCATTCAAGGTCCGGCTTGCATAGTAAATGGGTCGGAATAGTTTATCTCTCCTCTGTCTCAGAATTGCTCCTACTGCCACATCACTGGCGTCATACATTATCTCTAAAGGCTCACTCCGGTTAGGAGTCACCATTATAGGGGAACTCACTAGCTTTTCCTTGATCAGTTCGAATGCTCTGAGACACTCCACATCAAATACAAATTTCACGTCCTTGGCAAGTAATGTAGTTAAGGGCTTGGTAATGCTGGAGAAATTCTTAATTAACCTTCTATAGAAACCGGCATGCCCCAGAAAACTTCTAATGCTCGTCACTGAGGTCGGTGGCGGGAGCTTTGCTATCATATCTACCTTAGCTCTGTCTACTTCAATACCTTCAGCTGTGACTTTATGGCCCAGAACTATCCTCTCTTTAACCATGAAGTGACACTTTTCTCAGTTGCGTACTAGGTAAGTGTCCTCACATTATTTCAGAACAAGTTCGAGGTTCCTCAAGCAATCTTTAATGTCATCTACAAATAGAGTAAAGTCGTCCATGAATACCTCTAGACATTTCCCATTCAAGTCCAAAACTATTGACATCATGCATCTCTGGAAAGTAGCTGGTGCATTGCATAATCCGAAGCCATTCTCCAGTATGCAAAGATTCCGGACGGGCATGTAAATGTGGTTTTCTCAACATACTCAAGAGCAATGGGTATTTGATTGTACCCTGAATATCCATCTAAAAAGCAATAACATCCTCGCCCCGTCACCTTCTCCAACATCTGATCAATGAAAGGAAGAGGGAAGTGATCCTTCCTAGTTGCATCATTTAATCTCCGGTAGTCTATGCACATCCTCCACCTAGTGACTATTCTGGTAGGAATTAGCTTGTTTTCCTCATTTTTTACCACCGTCATGCCCTATTTTTCGGCATAACCTGTACGGGGCTAATCCATTGACTGTCAGAGATGGAAAATATTATGCCAGCATCCAGCAAGAGTATCTCTTTTTGAACCACCTCCTCAAGATTTTTGTTCAATTTGCACTGGGGCTACACCACTGGTTTACTCCCTTCTTCTAACAGGATCTTGTGCATGCAGATTGCAGGGATGATCCCTTGAATATCGGCTATACTCCAACTTCTTGCTTTTTTATGCTTCCGTAGTAACTCCACAAGCATGTGTTCTTGTTCACCTGTCAAATCAGCAGCAACAATCACAGAAATTGTTAGTCTCCAAAAAAGCATATTTCAAATGTGTCGGGAGTACTTTCAATTCCAGCTTCGATTTTCTCTTTTCATTCTCGAATTTTTATTCATCTACCACCTGGTTCTCATCTTCAAGCGCCTCAACTTCCTTCTTGATCTGAGGATCTTCATCCTCTATTGTGCTTGATTGACTAATGCATCTTTCTAGTGAGTCACCTACCAGCTTATCCAGTTTGTGTTGTTCAACTAACTCTCCCACCATATCTAGTTTGAGACAGGCATAAGCATATGACTCATCACATGGGTATTTCATCATTCTCTTCATTTGAAACAACACTTTCTCGTTTCCCACTCGTAGCATGAGTTGCCCCTCATGTATATCAAGAATAGCCCGACCAGGATTAGATGTACCTCCTTATTCACTTCCCAGGATTAGAGGTACCTCCTTATTCACTTCCATATCTACCACAATGAAATCTACTAGGAAAACAAATTTGTCCACCCTTACCAGAATGTCATCAATTGTGCCCTCCAGTATGATCGTGGTTTGATCAGCCAGCTGCAAGGATACCGGCACAGATTTGATTACTCCGAGCTTCCTTCCAATTTCTTGAACACCGATAATGGCATCAATTTAATGGATGCACCTGAATCGTACAAGGCTTTGTCAAATTTTTTCTACCAAACGAGCAAGGTATAGTGAAACTGCCAGGATCCCCACACTTCTTAGGAATTTTGTTCTGTAGAATGGCACTGCAGTGGGCATTGAGTTTGACCACCCTCGTTTCCTCAAGCTTCCTTTTGCTTGAAAGGATTTCCTTCAGGAATTTTGCATAGGCTGGCATCTGCGTAAGCACCTCCGTGAACGGAATGTTCACATACAATTGTTTCAGCATCTCCAAGAATTTCCCAAAACATTTGTCTAATTTCTCCCGCTTCATCTTTTGAGGAAAAGGTAATAATTCCATGTGCTTGCTTTTCTCAAATGCGTTGTTCACATTCTGCTTATCAACATCCGTGTTGCTAACATTCTCCTTAGGCAAAGATTCACCGGTTTTCTGCTCTTCAACTATCTTGGTTAAGTTGATCTCCTTCTCATCCTTTGGTTTTGCCTTTGGCTCTGCTAATGTTTTCCCACTCCTGAGAGACATAGCTTTGATTGTCTCTTTTGGATTCTTTTTAGTCTGCCGGCAAAGTCCCCGACGCCCTTTCTGACAACAATGTTGCAAGCTGCCCCATTTGTTTTCCAGATTCTGGATGGCTGTGCCTTGCTCCCTGATAGCGGTCCTTTGAGTCTTAAGTTTCTCATCGAATTTATTTTTAAATACCTTCATTAGATCTCCTAAACTTGAGTTGTTGGGCTGTGGAGGTTGGTATGGTTGCCTCTGTTGAGTTTGGAATCTAGGAGGTCCTTGCACTGGTGCTTTGGGATTTTGCTGCTGCCATGGGTTCAAACTACCAGTTGAAGAACTCCATGAGAACCCTCGATGTCTCTGTCCCATAGAATTGAAATTACCACCTCCTTGGTAGTTGCCTCTGTAAAAGTTCCCTCTGTTGAAGTTCTCCACAGCGTTGATTTCCTTAGTTGTAGCTTGACACTCATGTGTTGGGTGTCCCAATCCACAGATGTCACATCCCAACTGTGGTTGATAATGCACCTGAGTTAGCATCAGTTTCTTGATGTCCTTAGCCATAGTTGCAATTTGGGCTTGCATTGCTACCGACAATTCTACTTGGTGTACCCCTACTGATCTTTTTCGGTCCCCTTGATCAGTACAATTGTTCTGCATCTTCAGATAGTTCATTCAAAAGGGTGACAATCTCTTCAGGAGTTTTCTTCATCAGAGGACCTGCAACTGCACTATTAATCAATCTCCTTGATGACGGGTTTAACCCGTCCCAAAAGTCCTGAAGTTGCATCCGTTGCTCCATTCCATTTTGAGGGCATCTCTTCAATAGCTCCTTAAATATTTCTCATGCCTCAAACACTGTCTCTCCTTCACCTTAGATCTGAGAAGTATCCTCCCAGTCTTAGCAGCCGAGAAATATTTTTATAGAAACTTGGTAGTCATCTCCTCCCACGTACGGATTGACCCTGTGGGCAGACTTCTCAACCACTGCTTTGCATCATTCTTAAGTGAGAAAGGGAATGCTCTAAGGTAGATAACATCATGTGATGCTTCATTGTAGCGGAATGTTGTTGGCCCAAGATCAGTTGAAGTTTTGAAGAATGACAAAAATGAACTCAGTAAAGGACCAAGTCCATCTTAGGAGACACAGTTGTTATGGCCCATGCACATGAGATGCACGTGAAGAAGATAAGTCCTTGGGGATCAAGCAGCAATATCTTCTGAATATCTTCTGACCTGATCGAAAAGATTGCATATGGGATAAGGAGAAGATGTCTCCTTATAAGAAGAGAACACATCCGGATAAGGGTTGGAGTTTGGATTGGTCTAGGACTCAAACTCAATGGAGGATCAGAAATTGAGTTACAATCCAACTCTAATTACTAATCTAATAAATAACTGAGTTGTTCTCTTTTACATTTATGCATATACGCTAAAGTTAAGCAAAATTGAGAGCAAAAGAGCAAGGCTATTTTGCAAGCAATTTATGTGAGATTGAGTGTGCACGCCTGCAGCTACTTGAACAAGATAGAAGAACCAGTTCCATTGTGTTTATTCTTATTCTAGTTCAATTGTAGTAGGTGATTTAAAAATTGTACCTTTCTAGCTTTCATAGAAGCAAATTGTATTAGGTACTTTGAGTATTCAAGTTAGAGTTAACTTGAAAGTGTCGCAACAGTTGAGACTGTGTGCCACACTGGATTAGAGTTAATCCTTAGGTTTACAAGAGTTTTGTAAATGCTGTTTTTGGCTCATTGAGTTTAGTGGATGTTTGGGAAAATCCTACTGAGTAGTAGGTCGTGGTTTTTTCACCTTTTGAGCCAGGTGTTTTCCACGTAAAAATCCTTGTGTTCTTTTATTTTCTGTATTTTAATTTCGCAAACAGTAGTAGTTAGAACACCTAGAAGAACCAGGTTCTTCTAGATCGAAAATTGGGTACCACACAAATCACCCCCCTCTTGTGTGGTATTGACGTTTGGAACATCAAATGTGTTCATAATTTCATCGAAGTCCATTAGATGGTTGTTTGGATCTTCATTGGGTTTGCCTCTGAAAAGGCAATTGTGCTGAATGGTTTGGATGACTCCCTATTTGAGTTCAAAATTATTGTCATCGATGGGTGGGGGCCTCACACTAGACTATTGTTGGTTGTACATCGGTCTAGCATAATCTCCTAACAATCTCCAGGCCTAGGAACTGCATTTTCAAATTCACCTCGATCATGTTTCAGTTGATATTGAACCTTCGATCCCCGTCAACCATTTCATCCGTAATTCTAAGGGCTGCTTCAGTTGCTAACCGTGCTTCCTATTGCTGAGTCGCCTCTCTCGCAGTTAGGTCCATTACCTCTTTGTTGTTCACCATTGTATCCTGAGGTAAAGGCTGACCCAACAACAATCCACTCACTCCTTTGTCTCTTCTCAATTGCCTCAGGTGCTTGTCTAACTCTGGGTCATATGGCACCAAGTCCTTTGAAGAGGATCGAGTCATACACCGCTGAACTTAACCTGTTGCCTGCACACAGATGAGAAGAGCGTAAAAAAGGAAAAGAAAATAAAGTTTTTCCTGAATTAGCACTGAAAATTAATTTAAACACTATTAATCGCCAATCCTCGGCAACGACCAAATTTGATGAGCGCAAAACCGGTGTGTAAAGTGTATGCTCGCTAGTCAATGATAGTATAGTAGTAAATTGTCTCCAAAGGGATTGGTTTAATAATGTTCTAACAAATCTTTAGCTCAACACTATCCAGGATAATAAGCCTTTGATTGATGTTATTATCGACTACAAATAAAACTAAGATTATCAATTTTAAGAAACTAATGACACTTTAATGATTAGTAGCAACGATTGAATATCAAGCTGAGAAGTAGGGGTTGTGACAAGATATGTGATCAACTATTGTTCCGGGTACTTTGCATTAAATTCATTCTTAACTTCTATTAACTCCTTCGATTTCAACAGATGATTAGGCTACTTTAGGGATTCAAATTCTTCTTCCCAATGAAAGTGATTCCTTTAATCAGCCTAATAACAGGTCTTATGAACGTATGCACAAAAATAGTGAATGAATGATCTTCCGAAAAACACCTCTCGGTTATTCTTCTAAATTTTGTTAATTGATAACTCTCTAAGCTCTCTCGATTACCTAGAAAAGGCGTTAAATCAACCCAAACAAGATAGCACAATGCAAATAGAAGCAACATTTCTCTTTCGATTAAATTAAAACCACAATAAGCCTTGCAATTCAATTAATAACTCATTCAATGAATTCGGGCAATTAACTTGTCTGGTCAGAGTTTCGGGGCCTCAAATTCTCAGTGTAGGGGTGAGTCAAGTCAGATGAGGCTGCCTTTGCCACGATGTGCTCAGTGTGGTAAGCAGCATCCCGGGTAGTGCCGTATGGGATTGTGTGTTTGTTATACTTGTGGTTATCCGGGCCACGTTATGAGGGATTGTCCAACGAGAGGTGATGCAAGCATGGCTCAGATAGCGGGATCTGTAACTGGTTCGTCATCATCAGTACGCCCCCCCGGGCAAGGTCCACAAGCACCAATGAGTGTGGTAGAGGCAGAGGCGGATCATCTAGCTCGAGCAGTCCTCGGAACCGTATTTATGCGTTGGCAGGACGACAGGACCAGGAGTCATTGCCTGATGTTGTTACAGGTATATTATCAGTCTTCTCATATGATGTATATGCACTGATTGACCCAGGTTCCACCTTATCATACGTTACTCCGTTGGTTGCTAGTAAGTTTGAAATAAAACCTGAATTGGTTAAACCTTTTGAGGTGTCTACACCTGTTGGGGACTCAGTGATAGCTAAGCAAGTATATAGGGGTTGTATAATAGTAGTTCACGGTCGATCTACCGTAGCAGACCTAATCGAGTTAGATATGGTAGAATTTGATGTTATAATGGGTATGGATTGGTTGGCTTATTGTCATGCCAATGTTGATTGTAGATCAAAGATAGTCCGATTTCAATTTCCAGGGGAGCCTGTTTTGGAGTGGAAAGGTAATACGGCGTCGCCGAGAGGTAGATTTATTTCTTATCTCAAGGCAAGGAAGATGATCAGAAATGGCTGTATTTATCACTTAGTTCAGGTTCAGGATGTGGAAGTAGAGTCACCAACCATTCAGTCCATTCCTGTGGTTAATGAATTTCCCGATGAGCTTCCGGGTCTCCCGCCAGAGCGAGAAATTGAGTTTGCTATTGACCTACTACCAGATACTCATCCAACCTACTACCAGATACTCATCCAATATTTATTCCTCCCTATAGAATGTCCCCCGCAGAGCTCAAAGAGTTGAAGGAACAACTAAAGGACTTGCTTGAAAAAGGCTTTATCAGACCTAGCACATCACCATGGGGAGCACCTGTGTTATTTGTGAGGAAGAAAGATGGTTTCTTATGGATGTGTATTGATTATGGACAGTTGAATAAGGTGACAATCAAGAATCAGTACCCGCTCCCGAGGATTGATGATTTATTTGATCAGTTGCAAGGTGCCAAGTGTTTTTCAAAGATAGACTTGAGGTCCGGGTACCATCAAGTAAGGGTTAAGGAGGAAGATATTCCGAAGATAGCATTTAGAACCAGATACGGGCAATTTGAGTTTCGTGTTATGTCGTTTGGTTTGACCAATGCCCCAGCAGTATTCATAGATTTGATGAACCGTGTGTTCAGGCCCTTTTTAGATCGATTCGTAATTGTATTTATCGATGATATATTGGTGTATTCTCGTTCAGAGGCTGAACATGCAGATCATTTGCGTACTGTGCTTAGAACTCTACAAAAAGTGAAGTTGTATGCAAAATTCTCTAAATGTGAATTCTGGTTAAACTTTGTAGCTTTCCTCGAGCATATCATTTCGGGTGAGGGCATCCGGGTGGATACACAAAAGATTGAGGCAGTGAAGACTTGGCCTAGACCCACAACACCAACGGAGGTTCGTAGCTTTCTCGGTTTGGCAGGTTATTACAGGAGATTTATAGAGGGATTTTCTTCCCTTTCAGCACCTTTGACAAAGTTGACTCAGAAGGCAGCAAAGTTTCAATGGACTGATGCTTACGAACGGAGTTTCCAGGCATTAAAGGACAGATTAACTTCAGCACCGGTTCTAACGCTCCTAGAAGGGACCAATGGTTATGTGATCTATTGTGACGCTTCAGGCGTTGGATTGGGTTGTGTGCTGATGCAACATGGTTATAGCTTATGCTTCTAGAAAACTAAGAAAGCACGAGAAGAACTACCCGACCCACGATCTATAGTTAGCCGCGGTGATTCATGCACTAAAAATGTGGAGGCACTACTTGTATGTCATTCATGTTGATATTTATATGGATAAGAAAAGCCTCCAGTATATCTTCAAGCAAAAGGAATTGAAAATACGTCAAAGGAGATGGTTGGAGTTACTTAAAGACTATGACGTTGATATTTTATACCATCCGGGGAAGGCGAACGTAGTAGCCGACGCCCTCAGCCTTAGATCTATGGGTAGCCTGTCATATTTACCGCCAAAAAAGAGGGGAATAGACCATGAGGTTCATCAGCTAGCTAG